GGGTTAGCTGCTTTCGTCCGATGAGAGAGTGTGTTGTCTGTGTTGTATATTGAATCTGATTCGATCAGCGAATTCATTAATTTTCCTGAGCTGCTCTGTCGCTGTATGGCGTCGGGATTTCCAGTTAGTGGTTCTGTTCGATTTGTCCTCGAAATTACCAACTGGTTGGTTATATTCGATTTGTCATCGGAATCGTCGAATTATTACTGGAAACGTCGGGCTTACCAGATGTAGTGTGCCCGATGGCTGCGTGTTCTTAAGCTCTGTTTATAAATCAGAAGATGAACTCGTATTGATGAATATGTTTATTCGAGGCACACCACATAGCGAATTGAAGAGGCGAATAGGAGAAGGCTAAGAGCCAACTCTTTGGATTACAATGCAAGCGAATGAACGAAGCGACGTGGAGAAGGCTAGTGAGCCAACTCAAAGAGATAGAGTATGACTAAGAATATATAGTCAGATAAGAATAAGACAGACATATGACAAGCGAAATAGGTATACACACACAAGAATAAAAGCGACGAATGATTGACAAGGTCAAAAGCAAGCGACACAAATCATGTGAGTTCATGGGAATATTACGAGATTAACATTAAAGCGAAAAGGATGAGTAAGTGCGTAAGCGTAAGCAATGCTCAGTCGTACAAGCTAATATAAAGCAGATAATAAAAAATAACAATGGTACATACAAGTTGTTGCTAAGCGAATGGCTTGGTTAAATAAATTAATCGAAAGGGCTTAAGCAAATTAAATGTAAGCGGATGCAAATAAATGTGGAGGCACTACAATAGCCCCCTTCCAGCAAACAAGGATACGAAAGTGTCTGTGTTTGCGAAAAAAAACATCAAAATCGTCGGAAAACATCAAAAGTTATGAAAATTAAAGTTCCCATGTCCGGGTACGTTCGTAAGTTCGCATAGTAACAGAATATCAAAAAAAATATGGTAAGCGGTTATTAGCAAAACAAAGTCGATTTCGAATAGAATACATTAAGAGCAGTTGTACGATACGAAAATGTAATACAAATGCTGCAAAATACTCAATATCGTTTAGGCATGACGGTTAAGACGGAATTCGATAATCGCATACACATTACGGTAAGGCTCATCGATAAATCGAGTGACTGCACATAGGTGAAGAAATTGCGGTCGAGATTATCGTGGAAAAATTTGGAGAATAAAGCTGCGTACAGATGCGATGCATGGACATTAAATGCATATCGAAAACATAAGTTACAACCATTGAGTATATGACTCCAAACTTATGTGTATGATAGCGTTGCAAACCGTTGCCAGCGTTGGGGTAGTCGAAAAACATGCTAATATCAGCGTGCAGGAGGTTCGCTCGACTGCTTGAACTGCTGCTTCGTGTGCATGTGCGTAAGATCATACCACCAATTTACTTAGCAGGCTGCAAGATTTTCGAGTACGAGCAGCTGATGAGTACATAGAAGATATCTCCAATGCGATAATCGTATAGCCACGGAAATATTAAGGACAATAATTGTCGTTGAGCCATTGCTTTATTAAGCGATTCGAAACATAATAATGCGATACGGAAAAATAAATGGAACGAACTCACCTTAATCATGAATGTCGTTCATGTTATCGAAAAATAATTCCGTGAGTTACAAATGTCGTGCCGTGAATACAATATTCGAAATGCGATTCGATTAGCGATTAAGATATTTCCATTATTGTCATAATATCATGATTAATCATAATAATGGTTCTTTCACATTAATACGATAATGATAGCGATAATTGGATAATTCGAGAAATGGATTCATGCAGCGAGTTAATAAGTCGTCATAATAGGATTTTTGTATGTGCATATAACCGCTGAAATGGGTTAGCTGCTTTCGTCCGATGAGAGAGTGTGTTGTCTGTGTTGTATATTGAAATCTGATTCGATCAGCGAATTCATTAATTTTCCTGAGCTGCTCTGTCGCTGTATGGCGTCGGGATTTCCAGTTAGTGGTTCTGTTCGATTTGTCCTCGAAATTACCAACTGGTTGGTTATATTCGATTTGTCATCGGAATCGTCGAATTATTACTGGAAACGTCGGGCTTACCAGATGTAGTGTGCCCGATGGCTGCGTGTTCTTAAGCTCTGTTTATAAATCAGAAGATGAACTCGTATTGATGAATATGTTTATTCGAGGCACACCACATAGCGAATTGAAGAGGCGAATAGGAGAAGGCTAAGAGCCAACTCTTTGGATTACAATGCAAGCGAATGAACGAAGCGACGTGGAGAAGGCTAGTGAGCCAACTCAAAGAGATAGAGTATGACTAAGAATATATAGTCAGATAAGAATAAGACAGACATATGACAAGCGAAATAGGTATACACACACAAGAATAAAAGAGAAAGGGTGATAGTAAGTAACCTTGCCTGACACCTGTCTTCACCTCGAACGAGTCTGTCAGCTGACCTCCGTGCACGATTTTGCAGTTTAATCCATCATAAAAATTCCGTATGATGTTAACTATATTCTCAGGTACGCCATAGTGTCGAAGAAGCCTCCAAAGTGTTTTGATGTCCACGCTATCAAATGCTTTCTCGTAGTCGATGAAGTTGATGTAGAGTGGTGAGTTCCATTCAATTGATTGTTCCACAATGATCCGTAATGTAGCAATTTGGTCAGTACACGATCTATCCTTACGAAATCCGGCCTGTTGATCTCGAAGCTGGGCGTCTACGAAGTCCTTCATTCTGTTTAACAATACCCTGTTGAAGACTTTGCCTGGAATTCGGAGAAGAGTGATGCCTCTGTAGTTTTCACACTTGCTGAGATCGCCTTTCTTTGGTATTTTGATCAGGTATCCTTCTTTCCAATCTGATGGTACTTGTTCCTCATCCCAAATCTTCTTGAAGAGGATGTGAAATATTTTCGCAGTTGCTTGTACATCTGCTTTCATTGCCTCTGCTGGAATGTTGTCTGGTCCTGCTGCTTTGTCGCTCTTGATTTGTCTGATGGCCATACTGATCTCCTCAATTGTAGGTGCGCCAATATTAATTGGGAGGTCCGTGGATGCTGCTTCGGTGTTGGGTGTGTTCAGTGGAGCTGGTCGATTCAATAGTTCCTTAAAGTGCTCTACCCACCTATTTCGCTGTTGTTCAGTGTTGCTGATTATTTTTCCTTCCTTGATTTTCACTGGTCGTTCTGGTTTACGATGGTTCCCGGCGAGCTTCTTTGTAGTTTCGTACAATTGTCTCAAGTTTCCTTCTCTTGCAGCCTTTCCCGCCGTCATTGCTAGATAATCCCCATATTTTCGTTTGTCAGCTCTGATGCTCTTCTTCACTTCCCTGTTTGCTTCTGTGTATGCAGCTTGTGCGGTAACTTTCTCCGCTCTTGTTCGCCTGACATTGATTGCTGCTTTCTTGTTCCTCCTTTCTTCAATTTTTGCGAGAGTATCAACAGAGATCCATTCCTTGTGATGGTACTTCTTGTGACCCAGAACTTCGTGACATGTTGAAGTGATTGCCTCCTTAATCCCTTTCCAATTGTACTCCAATGTTGCGTCCTCTCCATTGAGTAGATCCTGAAAGGCCTGGAACCTATTGCTGAGGGCTATCCTGAATTCGTTGAGCTTTACAGTATCCCGAAGAAAGGCCGTATTAAACTTGTGTGATGTTGTCTGTCCCGTTGTCCAGTGCTTCTTTAGTTTCAGTTTCGTTTTGGTGACCAGCAAGTGGTGATCTGAGGCTATATCAGCTCCTCTCCTGGTTCTCACATCCTCCATAGTCCTTCTGAACGTTTTGTTGATACAGATATGATCAATCTGGTTTTGAGTAGTGTGATCCGGTGAAATCCATGTAGCTTTGTGAATGCGTTTGTGCGTGAATATTGTGCCACCAATGAACAGTTTGTTGAAGGCACATAGGTTTGCGAATCTCTCACCGTTTTCGTTTCTTTCTCCCAGTCCATGTCGTCCCATGATGTCTTCATATCCAATGTTATCCATTCCAACCTTGGCATTCAGGTCTCCCATAAGAATCGTCAAATCCTTTGGTGAACATTTCTCGACGATTGACTGCAGCCTTTTGTGGAATTGATCTTTAACGTCGTCATTGTAGTCATTGGTAGGTGCGTAACATTGGATGACGTTCATTGTAATGTCCTGTTTCTTTGTTTTGAAGGATGCTTCAATGATCCTTGGTCCATGAGATTCCCATCCTATTAGTGCCTTTTGTGCATGTTTGGACAGCATCAGTGCAACTCCTTGTGTATGTGAAGCATTTTCATCTTCATGACCAGAGTATAACAGCAGTTCCCCTGAAGCTTATCTCAGTTGTCCTACCTGTGTCCAATGTGTTTCACTGATTCCAAGCACCTTGAGGTTGTATCTTTTCATTTCTGCCGCAACTTGAAATAGTCTTCCAGTCTCCCACAATGTACGAACGTTCCATGTACCTAAAAAAATGGTTGCTCTGGTTGTCAGAAGAGGCATCAGCCCCGTGACTTCCGAGGGAACTTGGCTTTCATCACGCGACGTCATAATTCTTCTTCCAACTCCCAGGGCAGAGTTAAAATGGTTTGAATTATTTTTTCTGGTTGGCGTTTTTTTGGCAAGTTAGTTTTTGACGGAATGGGGTCGCCAACCCCATGTCCAACCCTCCTCCTTTACCCGGGCTTGGGACCGGCAGTAGCCCCGAAGGTTCTACTGGCGGAGTTACATTGATATCTAGGACGACCGTAAAATTGACCGGTAGGAGTGAACCGATCGGAATTGACCAATAATTCTCTTAGGATATTGCATGAATATCCTAACGCATTGATCGATTGCTGCTTTAATACAACTCAACAATCTGCTCACTTCTATCATGAAAATCACAGCTGCAACTGCCGATGTTGCTAGACATTTTAGAATAAACGGAAAACATCTGAATTGTTTTTTCTACAGAATTTCCATTTCTCTGTGAAAATGTTAAATTAATCTTTTGAATTATATTATTAATTACGCCTCATATCACATGATACTATTCTTCAGATTATGCATTTATACTTGGAATCATCTACACCACAGACAAATAATAATTATACACTATGTTTTTCCAAATTAAATCAATACTTTCCTCCATCCGATCCAGTAAGTTAATCTGTATGAATTTTTCTCTTTGTCTCGTTATTAAATTTGGTATATATGTATTTTTCGTTGTAAAAGTAAATATACTTTAGTTCCTTAACATGAATACATTAATACAATGTTATTTCAAATGCATATGAAAAATTTTTAAAAAGAAAGATAATTTAAACCACTGTGACTAAGTGTTACCTCTTCGAAAAGAAAAAAATGAAGAGGATTATTTCAGTTGATTGTATGACATGATCGATCGACTGACAGTGTATATTTTTCTCAAAGAGGATTGCACTCATTTGATGGTGATTCTTGTTACGCCTACACGTAAACACGTCATTTTGATATGCTTGAACTATTACGAGTTTACCTAGTCGGGAAAACGAGAGCAAGGATTGAGGATCCGGCGACACGACATGCTACTCTAATCCGATTATCTCAACCTCCCATATTGAGTAACAATAATAAGACTTGATATGAAGTAGAACCGGTATTCTACAGGCATCCAGAAAGTAAGAGGTCCGGGTCCAGAAAATAATCAGGATCCCGGACTAGGTATCTCGGACCGGGTCCTAGTCATAAAATGTTACAAGTAATGCGTATTTATACATTTTGGTCGGATAGGAAACAGCATCGAAGTCTGTGACATTGACAGTTAAGACGATCAATAAGAAACAACATTTGAAGTGACATTGATATCTAGGACGACCATAAAATTGACCAGTAGGAATTAACCAATAGGAATTGACCAATAATTCTCTTAGGATATTGGATGATTGTCTTAACAATTCTGTAATCAATTTATGCTGTATGTCTAACCTAAATTCTATCAACTTAATCCAAGTGAGATTATCTGTTTTATTTTCTAAATTGTTTGGATACTACTGTTGAGAGTAGTATGAAAGTAGACTGCAGATGATATGTCGTAAAAAAGAAAATAACTAGGCTGTTGATAGTTGTGTAGAATTATGTTGAAAAAACTGTGATTCCTTTTTTTTCTTTTAATTTTAAAGTATTGTGTTGAGTAAAATCTTTTACACCACTAATTACTATTGTACGATATGTCTTTGCGAAACTGAAACACCTCCAACAATCATGCAATCAATGTTAGGTTTCATCATATAATTTTGCTATCATAGAATTACAGTATATTTTGTTGATACTGAAATAGTGAGCAGATGACATGTGGCCGGTTTGTAATGGCGCAGGTGCATCTATTCTCTTTTTATTCTCTCACTCTGATCTTCTGAATTCCTCATGACCGTTTCTTCTTTTTTTTAACTGATTCCTATTAGGAATACATCTCGAACGGTATATCCGATCATTGATCTTTTTCATTATTACTAATACTACTACCTCTACACTACTATGGGATTTGAATGGACAATTTGATCTCTGTGCCAATATGGTATGGCAACTTGAACCGATTTACGTACGTACGAAGTTCTCCGTTGTAAGTGACTGAGGATAGATGAGATAGACTTTCTACTGCATTCTTTCAGTCAGTTATGGGGATTATGGCGTCATAATTTCAGATATGGGACATCCAGAAATCATAAAAGTTACACAGGTTTATGCAAACCAACAAAATGATTCGTCTCATTCTGTAAATTTATGTTCTCGATAGCAGCTAGAATTCGGAGTTGTTTAAAAGATAATTCAATAAACTATACATTAAAACGTGAGGATTACAATTAAATAATCCGATGACTAATGAAAACTTTCATGTCTTTTGTCTGTTGAGAAGTAATAAATCCACATATTCTTCATCTCGTTCTAATTAACTCACTTAAACACAATCCTGATCAAGCACATTTGTCTTTCGATTAACAAAATTTTCACAACTAACTGAACTCCAATGCCTTAGTATGATAAGATGTTAGTACTTGTAACTGAATAATAAATTTGATACAAGTTAGACTGTAATTGATCATTTTTTTTTATATTATTACATATTCTCTTTTACTTTATGATGAATTGTTGCTTTGTTGTTCTTAAGATTGATGAAGTACACAGATTTCGACTGGGATTTTTAAATCTATTCGTATCTGAGCAGAAAGTTAATGATTATTTGAGGGAGAGATGGTTTCCAGCAAGATTTGATGTTTTTAAAAAATTACAACAGTTGACATTTGATATTATTGAACAGTTGCCTGAAGTATTATTGGACAAAGTGAGTATTATCAATGATATTTGAACCTTTGATTAGTAGTATACATATAATAATGTCGAATATTGATCTGTAAACTCCGTCTTGAGCCCCGCCGGATAAAGAAGGAGGCTGAGTTCCTTCGGAAGTCATGAGGCCGGTGCGCCTTCTGAAAACCAGAGTCCTTCTACGGTGTGGGTAGCCGTGAAGTGATATCTGCCATCATACCCGTAATAGCCCGCGAAACCGAACTGGTTACAATCAAGTCCTTCCTACACCCCCTAACACTTTTTTATCACCCTGCGCCGCTAATGCAGACGATTCGAGTTCACGAAACGTCATTCCTGGTCCCCGGAAATTCCGTCCTAAACCACATGTTGAAACATTTGATGTCCGAGCATTGTGTCAAAAAGGATAACAAGCTTCCTTAGCTAGGACTATAGAACCTCGTATCATCGATGTATACTGCGTTTCAGAAACGCGCATATAGGATCCGAATAAAATTATCATTTCGATTTCAACTTCAGCAGATAGAAAATCATCACATTTTACGCTCCATGTGTCTGAAAGCCTTGCCACTGCTTTCCGTGACCACGCTGGTGTAAGTTTACCATTGAGTCCTATGGCAGAACTAGTTATTCTATAATGGATCCCTGTAGATAGTCGTTCGTGCGGCTGTCTGACTTAACGGGCCAGTAAGGACTCTTAAGGATAGGGAAAATCGTCGTTGGCACTTTATCGTATCTGCTGACGCTTCCATTTGCCTAGTTGTATAGAAAGCATTCGACGTTAGGCACTCTGATACAGTAATAGAGGCCATGTGACTTCAATGCTCAAGTAGGTAGACTAAATGAAAAGGCCAGACACCTGGGTAGATCTTATTTTCCCGACCGTAGCTGTTACCTTGACGTGGTGGTCGGGCTTGCCCATCGTGATGACCCAACCGAGGTATATTAACCCAAACATACGTTCCTGTAGGTTATATCATACTAGACTGGTCGATTGGAGAACGATGAGACTAAAAGCAGCTATTCAAGGTCTGAGGGCGAACTCGTACTGCTGACTGTAGGGGGATGTGACAGTAGTAAGGTGTTTCCCTCGGACAAGCAGCATCTGCAGCGATGCTGCCTTCTCACAAGGAAGGAAGGGTTAGAAAAGGTCGACCCTATAAATGTCACACCTCACCCTACCTCACGGATTTCCGTCTCCGGCGGTAAAACAAGAACAGAGCTAACACTTCAAAACTTCTCATGAAAAAGCCGTACGCGACTAGCCTCAAGCAGTTGTCTTTTTGATTTTGCGGTTACGCTCCTAGGTCGTTAAAACCGACACTAATCTACCGCCCTTTTCAGGTACCTGAAGAAGTACCCTCACACGGCGTGGGCAGCCGGGAAGTGACAACCACTCTCATACCCGCAACAGCACACGAGATCAAATTGGTTGCAATCAAATCCTTCCTTTGCCTCTTAACATACCACCTCTGTGCACGACTAACTCTTCTCACATTCCTTTATCACCCCGCACCACTGATGCAAACGCTTCGAGTTTACGAATCGTTACTCCTGGTCTCCTGAAACCCCGTTCTCGACTACATGTTGGAGCTTTTAATGTACGGACATTGTGTTAAATAGGACAACAGGCTTCCTTAGTTAGGACTTTAGAATCTGGCGCCATAGATGTATGCTGCGTCTCGGAAACGCGCATACAGGATCCGGGTAGCGTCATTCACCTGACCTCTCCATGTCGAGATAAAGAAGCAACTCGTTTCTTTTCGTGTATCTGGAAGCTCTGATGCTGCTTCCCGGGGTCTCGCTGGTGTAGGTGTAGCATTGAGTCCTAGGGCAGAATAAGCTCCCTTAGACTGAATCCCAGTAGATAGTCGATTGTACGCTTTCTGACTAATCGGAACAGTAAGTACCGGGGACGATAGAGACACTCGCCGTTGCCTCGTCGTCTTTTCTGTCTATGGTCTCACGGACAGCAGTTCAGACGAGGTGAAAGGTCTCGAACCTCCTTCATAAGGTTAGACGCTCTGATATAGTAATATTGGCTGGTGAATTCAATGCTCAAGTAGGTAGACTGAGTCAAAAGGAAAGACACTTGGGTATATCTTATGGTGTTGCGGCTCAAGGAACACATAATGGAGACTGCCTGCTGCAACTTTGCTCAGACAACCGCCTATTTCTAGCAAACACCAACGTCAGGCATAAGGAAACACATCTTTTGACTTGGCGACCCCCAAAGTCGTCTCAACGCTGGACCCTACTAGATCACATTGTCATCAGCCACCGACAGAGAGGTTCGATTGAGTACTTTCGCTCGTTCTGGGGTACATGTTTAGATTCAGATCATGCTCTAGTGCGAGCGCGTATTTGTTTGAGGCTTACTGGACGTAGGAAAGACACTACCAGAAAACCTTCTAGATTTCTACTTAATGATAACAAAGCTAAGAATATATTTCAGGAGCAGCAAGAAAAACAGTTAGGCGACGATGTAAGCGATTCCCGTCCGGGAGCAGGTTGGAATGATATGAAAAAGGCTGTGGAAACGGCAGTGATATCTGCTGGAAAGGTAAATCATAAGGCTAGGAAAAAGACGTGGACCTCATTAGCCTTCTAAATTGTTAGCTTCGATAATCCTTAGACGCCTGACTGGAGCTCGTGAAGTGAAGACTCGGTAAAACCAGGCTTGTTTCAGACCTGGATGTTACTGTATAGACGACATATTCACAATACGACATGTCATAGTACACAGACACACATTTAGGCGTCCGACAATAGTTATCTTCTTGGACCTCAAGGCGGCGTTTGACTCAGTGGATCGTGAGGTTCTGTGGCGATGTCTGTCACTGAAAAGTGTACCAATAAACCAGTTTCCATTACACAAGATCTGTACTCGAACACTACAGGTCAAGTAAGGGCTAATGGCTAACTGTCATCGGAATTCTTCACTTCAAGGGGTGTCCGTTTAGGCTGCCAACTCTCCTTATTGTTGTTTAACTTTGTCGTGGATATGCTCTAAAGATGACATTATCTTCGTCCGACTTTTCGGGAGTGGACTTTCAACCAGTAGGTTCACAGGTGTACTTGGAATATGCTGATGACATAGTCCCATTTGATAAAGATACTGACAATATGTAGAGTCTTCTGACCACCCAGAGCAACAATGTAAGCACGTTTGGTATGCGGTTTTCCCCCTCGAAATGCAAAATGTTGCTTCAAGATTGGGTTTCATCGGTACCTGAACTAGTGATAGGGATTGAAGTAGTCGAGCGTGTAGACCGCTTCACTTATCTGGGGAGTCTCATCAATACTGATGACCTGGTTACTTACTTACTTACTCCTGTTGCCCCCAATGGAGCATAGGCCGCCCACCAGTTTTTTCCAACCAGCTCTGTCTTGGGCAACTGATGGACTGGTGGGTGACGAAATCTCAGCACGGATATAGAAGGCTCGATTGGCTGTTGATGGCTTAGTCGAGATTTCCGTTTGTTAACTGAAAGATGGGTTTGCTACGCAGCAGTTCACATTGTCTTATTTTGAGGCTGTGAAAGATAGTAAGGGTAAAGAATATTCGTAGTTTACTGGTTTTCGATCATAGGTGTCTCCGAAGGATTGCCTAACCACCGACTGCCTCTATGATCTATGTTTTGTGGTTTAGGAGTAGGTTGAAAGTACGCTAGTGGCGGCCAAACCAATACATGGCACAAATCAATGAGGTCACTGGCAAGTCGACTGAGCCATGTTAGTAGATGTGGACTACCTGTTTGAGGTCTTTGAAACGATAGTAACCGATGGTTAGAGACCGTGAATGGCATGGCTGAAAAGCATTTGCAATGCCACAGGTGCATCGATTGTTTTCTCAAATTCTAGTCATCTGAATACCTGGTCACTTGGTTACGAAGTTTTACGTCGTAACTCATTGACTGACCAAATCTGTAAGCACTGTTCTCTCTGGTAAGCAATATCCACGTAGCACTCCGTTGAATAACACGTATATGCCACATTATGAGTAACATCCACCACACCTGTTCATCAATCATTACTGTGTCAAGTGATACAGTATTTTTGTCTAGTTCGAATGAAACCGACGTGTGAATTATGAATCAACGAATAATTACCTCAGATAATCATGTTTTTCTGAATGAAATCACACTTGTAGAAATGAACAAGTTGTCTGAATGAACATTGTATTGCGGTGGTTTATTTGTAATAGAAATAATTGAGAATTGTAAGATGGCGGTATTGTCATACATAGTGACTGAAGTTAGATCATTTCCTACTGTTACATCACACTGACGGTGAAAATGTGATGAGTGAGATTGGTAAGAGTAATAATATGGCGGTGTGTTACAATATCTAGTTTCTCATAGATGAAGCAGTGGGCCATTATTGTTTGAGCTACAATCTCATTCATTCGAACCATGTCATCATTGTTTAAATACATTGAGGATGAGTTTGATGAGAGAGAGAGTTTCTGAAATACTTTGGTAGCGGTTATGTGTAACTCTGTTATTTGCCTATTTGCTCCACTATCTCATTCTAATAACAACAGACAACAATTAGGAATCGACGTTATTTGGACTTCATCCGTCGTACCTAATTAGCCACTTGTTATCTAGCTCATTTCATAATGTGGTTTATGGTAGTCTATTGACACGCTCAAACCAATACGATTTGTAGTAGTTGATTTCAGGTCAACTCCATGTCATTACATTGAGATTTGATTGAAATGTTGCGTATCAGTCAAAGTATTGTTTTTCGTATGAAGATGCTAATTGTTCATTGGAGAAAACCTGTTCGGCTTATTCTTGGTAATGCAAAATGATCGTATCATAAACTTATTATCATCAATAAATTCAGACATAATAGTAGAATTTGTAAGCATGTAAGTAGTCTGAATACATGTTCAGTAAGATGAATGATTAATTATTGCTAACTTAATCATTTTCGATTTTTAGGTTGGGTCAAGTGAATGGGTGTATAACGAAGCAATACTCCTAGAGTTGAACACACTTCTTGCTTTATTGATGCGTGAACAGTTGTTTGGCAAATGCTTGTGTACACAAGAAGATTTATTTGAACTCGTTCATGTTTATACTTCTGAATCATGTCCGACTGAGTTACTTTGAAAATGTTAGATTTTTTTGGCAGTTGGTTGTGAATTGAGTCTTGTAAATATCTCTATAAATTGTAACTAGATATTGGCTGTATTGTTTCAACATCACGTTTATGTTGTTTTTTGTATAGTTAATTTTTATTTCTGTGATCATTGTTACAAGTTAGAACAACACATATAAGCGAACAATATTGTTTTCGATTAGATCGTCATGAGGCTTTACTCTAATATACATGAATATTTATATCAAAATGTTAAACCAATCAAGGCAATTCGAGTGATAATCAAAATGAAATGAAAAAGATTACGTAACTACATCTAATAGGCAAAAGTTCAAGTGGATAATAGGAAAACAGGTGTACTGATAGTAGTAAGAAAATTTGTAAAATATGATAACTAAAGTAGGTCAAGGGTGGATGAATAGAATTCAAATAATCATCAAAAACATTACGTAATAAGCAAATGTGTAAAAATAAAATAAAATAAAAAATCAAAAAATAATAAAAATATGTCAGTCATTAGTTACGTCATATCCGGCCACGGAAGAGATAGGGGTGTCACGAATTTCTTCTGAACACATAAATTAGGGTTGAATGTACGTATTCCTATGGCTTCTGCAATGTGTAGGAGACGGGGTCGAACTCCGTTGGGAAATGATGGAGGTAAACGATAGATCACCCGAAAAGATCTAGATTTATCTACAATGTGACCACTATCTACCAGGTGTGCTAAGATAGAACTGCGTATTGTTTTTGACTGACCCTTCGTAAACCATGCTGGGAGATGTACACTCATTCGTTGGCTAAGTTGCCTGGAAGTACGCCCGATATAGCTATCTCCACAGGAGCAGCTGAATTTGTAAATGCACATAGAGGAGGCCAGCTCAGGTAACTTATCTTTCGTTTGAGTAGACATCGCAGGTCGACTGGAGAAAGTCAATGCAAGTTTTGCAGCGTTGAATGTTCTGTTAATTACTCTTCTTAATCTGTCCTGCAGAGTATAAATAAATATAAATATTCATGTATATTAGAGTAAAGGCTGATGACGATCTAATCGAAAACAATATTGTTCGCTTATATGTGTTGTTCTAATTTTCACAATGGGAATCTTTAAAATTGTTACAAGTGTTCATTCGTTATAAAAGTTGAAGTATTAATGAAATATTCAGAAAATAAATAAATGCGGAATCCATACCAGTTTACAGGCATGAGTAGCACCATATAGATATTGATTTTAAGTGTCATCAACGGATATTATGATCATTACATTGTCTATAGTATTCTGGTTAAGAGATTGTGAGGAAGTGCTTTTTATTCACGTGTATTGCAGTCATGTACTGCGTCAGTTGGAAATGATGAATTGTTTTAAACTGGTCAGTATGTTGCTGTCTCAATGATGTAGACGGCAATACTGAAAGTGGTGTGGAAGCATAACGATAACTATGAAAGTGGTAGTTCACAAATTATGGTAATATCATGATGTAATTACACAGAAAACCATGGATTGAGAAATTCTGTTCAGATTTGCATGAAATTTCAGCCATTCACATAGTCCAGTTTTCAATGTAAGTCAACGAATGAATATAACAGCATTTACCGTGTTTCAATAGAAATTTCAAATTCGTTGTTAAGGTGGACAACACTATTTATTACGTTGCAGCTCCAAGTAGCTAGTGGATGTGGTATACCTATGGACTTCAAGCTACGTGATGAAGTATTAATAGAATAGTGATGTCGATAATATGGTTTCATAGCAATTGTGTGTTGAGTTGTCACAATTAATTTTGGCTGAGACTGTAAATGATTAGTTTTATGCTAAAATCAAGTCAGTATACTGGTTAAATGTCATAGAATATACTTTTATGTCATGCTGGAGTAACCGTTGTTATATGTATATTGAACATTTTAAGAAGGCGTCCCACTACTGAAATATGAATATATTCCGTAATCTTTTTGATCGAAAATTTGAATGCGCGAAGTACTCGGTGGAATTATACCTCCCTTGAATCATTCTGGTTCCTGGTAAAAGGACGTTCGTGCATGTGAACTAAGCATAGCAAAAAATGGTGTTAGTTTTCGTAGGATGTCGCAACGCCATACACGTCTTACATAACAATGCAATTTTATATGATTTTCGAAGATGATAGATAAACTCGATGAAAATACGACGTCTTTGAGAAGAAGCGGTGAAATGAATTAGTCCGAACCATGGCATAACTTGATGAGAGCATGGAAATGCAATATTCTCAGTATAAAAGTTGCCAATCTTTTGAACACGTCCGAATGATGAATGCATTCTTTCAGACGTGACGAGGCCGAAGCCCATTCTCACAATCTGAACGACAAATGAGATACTCATTTAGAATTATCACTTATACTGGTAGACTGACACAATCATTCCTTAGCTATCAGACTATATTGAGAGCGGAGAAGCAAGAGGACCAGAAGAAATATTAACTAGAGCTCTGAAATTAGATATAAGTAACTACAAGGATGTTAAGTGCTCTGTTCAACAAGACTTGTGAGGATGAACAAGTAACAACATATTGGCAAGATGGACAGCTGGTCAATGTGCCAAGAAAGGAGACCTCTGTAAAATAATAATTTACTCTTGCAGTCCGCTTTTAACCCGCAAAGTGTAGGTTCATATGCGTCCCATTCAGTCCAAGCCCAAAAGCGATAATTCTGGGAGAGAACGGTTCTATTTTTAATCAAAAAGCGAAATACAGACAATTACCAAAACAATATTACACCTTCGAGTTTCCAATTACCACCATAGGTTCCGTTGCTGGAAGAATAAGTGCTTCCAGTCAGTTGCTGCTAGAGTATCAAATCCAAATATTGCTGTAGCCATATTAAATATCAAACTTAACACATATATAGTTCAGAAGGAAACATGGAAACTTCAATATAAGTACAAGATATAGAAATAGTCAAAATATACAATGATAAAATCTCAAAATGGAATCAAATAGAGTACCAAAATATCGAACAGAAAGAGTCAGTCATATCATAACACAAATACATATACATGGAGGGATTTTCCAAAAAACAAAACCTTCAAAATAGATTCTGCAACCTCGGAAAGTTTGTAAACCATAGAAGATAGTCAATATAACACGGAATTTGTGTGATCTAATACACTTCTAAAACTCCGCCAGTAGAACCTTCGGGGCTACTGCTATTCGCAAGCCAAGATAAAGGAGTAGGGTTGGACATGGGGTTGGCGACCCCATTCCGTAAAAAACTAACTTGCCAAAAAAACGCTAACCAGAAAAAATAATTCAAACCATTTTAACTCTGCCCTGGGAGTTGAAAGAAGAATTATGACGTCACGTGATGAAAGCCGAGTTCCCTCGGAAGTCACGGGGCTGATGCCTCTTCTGACAACCAGAGCAACCATTTTTTTAGGTACATGGAACGTTCGTACATTGTGGGAGACTGGAAGACTATTTCAAGTTGCGGCAGAAATGAAAAGATACAACCTCGAGGTGCTCGGCATCAGTGAAACGCATTGAACACAGGTAGGACAACTGAGATAAGCTTCAGGGGAACTGCTGTTATACTCTGGTCATGAAGATGAAAATGCTTCACATACACAAGGAGTTGCACTGATGCTGTCCAAACATGCACAAAAGGCACTAATAGGATGGGAATCTCATGGACCAAGGATCATTGAAGCATCCTTCAAAACAAAGAAACAGGACATTACAATGAACGTCATCCAATGTTACGCACCTACCAATGACTACAATGACGACGTTAAAGATCAATTCCACAAAAGGCTGCAGTCAATCGTCGAGAAATGTTCACCAAAGGATTTGACGATTCTTATGGGAGACCTGAATGCCAAGGTTGGAATGGACAACACTGGATATGAAGACATCATGGGACGACATGGACTGGGAGAAAGAAACGAAAACGGTGAGAGATTTGCAAACCTATGTGCCTTCAACAAACTGGTCATCGGTGGCACAATATTCCCGCACAAACACATACACAAAGCCTCATGGATTTCACCGGACCACACTACTCAGAACCAAATCGACCATATCTGTGTTAGCAAAACGTTCAGAAGGACTATGGAGGATGTGAGAACCAAGAGAGGAGCTGATATAGCCTCAGATCACCACTTGCTGACCGCCGAAATGAAAATGAAACTAAAAAAGCACTGGATGACGGGGCAAAATAACACTACAGAAGTTTAATAGGGCCTTTCTTCGGGATACTGTAAAACTCAACGAATTCAAGGTAGCCCTCTCCAATAGGTTCCAGGCCTTTCAGGATCTATTCACTGGAGAGAATAATTGGAAAGGGATTAAAGAGGCAATCAATTTAACATGTCACGAAGTTCTGGGTCACAGGAAGTGCTATCAAAAGGAATGAATCTCTGTTGGTAATCTTGAAAAAATTGAGGAAAGGAGGAACAAGAGTGCAGCAATCACTGTCAGCCGAGCATAAACAGAGAAAAATGAAGGCACAAGCAGAATATACAGAAGCGAACAGGGAAGTGAAGAAGAGCATCAGAGCTGACAAACGAAAATATGTGGAAGATCTAGCAATGACGGCGGAAAATGCTGCAAGAGAAGGCACCTTGAGACAATTGTACGATACAACAAAGAAGCTAGCTGGAAACAATCGTAAACCAGAACGACCAGTGAAAAGCAAGCAAGGAAGGAAAAGTAATCAGCAACACTGAACAACAGCGAAATAGGTGGGTAGAGCACTTTAAGGAACTATTGAATCGACCAGCTCCACTGAACCCACCCAACATCGAAGCAGCATTCACGGACCTCCGAATTAATATTTGCGCACCTACGATTGAGGAGATCAGTATGGCCATCAGACAAATCAAGTGCGGCAAAACAGCAGGACCAGACAACATTCCAGCAGAGGCAATGAAAGCAGACGTGGTAGCAACTGCCAAAATACTTTACATTCTCTTTACCAAGATATGGGATGAGGAACAAAGATCATCAGAATGGAAATGAGAATACCCGATCAAAATACCAAGGAAAGGAGATTTCAGCAAGTGTGAGAACTACAGAGGTATCTGTGGTGTTTGAATGAACTAGTAACTTCTTGTTGTTGTGGAATGCTTGATTTCGAATTCTGAATACAATACATTCGTTTGTGCTCATCCCACAGTTCTTGATTCACATACTTCTAATCATCATACTGGCGTCGCG